CGACGGAGCTGCCGGACCCCCGTTTACCGCTTCGGGGGCGAGTTACGTGATAGCCCACACTCGGGGGACTCGCGATGTTAATACACATACGCGGATCTAGTCTATTAGCAATGGGGAAAAATAACGGTAACCAGGTGGCCATGAGCTATATGTTCCGCCGAATTGAAAATCCATGAGTACGTAGTATCTCTTGCTTCAACCTCGGCTGGTATTTTCATTTTTCGCTCATCCCCAGTGTAACGAAACGTTCGATCAATGAAAGCCCGTTAAAGGCACACTGCAATCCGGCCGGGAAATTGAGCGCGAAACGAGCCACTGGAGCTTCCGGGATCAGCCGATGAGTCGCGTAAAAATACCCACCAGCCAAATTGCAGCCGATATCGATTTGTCAAGAGATCGTTGCAGATTTTTTTTTAACCGATAGCACACAAGTACGGCCCGTTCAATTAAGACGTTGTCCCGCGCCACTTTGGTTGTACACACGAGTATGAAAGAGGGAGGGGGGAGGCTGTAGAGTTTGAACGGCACGCGACGTCATCGTACATATAGCTCTGGCGCGTGCACGCAAAACCGAAAGAGCGGGGGGATGGGCATCAAGCGAAATTTCAGCGAAAATTAAATTCCACGCTCGAGCGGAGAGGAGCTCTTGATGCACTTAAGGGCCGCGCGAGGTACAAACAACTAATATGAGAGCTCCTTCTTGCCTTTCTCGTCTGACTCTCGTGTTTGCCCCTTTTTCCTTGCACAATAGATATACACACACACACGCAGTAACGAACTCAAGCTCGCCCGGTTCGTTACACTCCGGGATAAATAACCCTCGCATTTCCCGGGGTATACAGAGCGACGGCACACGCACACATCCCCTTACCTTTTACAACCCAAACGGACTCTATTCTCTTTTGACGCGGGGGGAAAGTACTCGCGTTTCACCACGACCCCCTGACAACCTACCGTCTGGCGTATCGCAGAGTTAATAACTCAGCTGCCTGTCAACTAAACCTCGCTCTCTAATATACAGGAGCCACAACAAAGGATCCCCGGGAAGACAGGGAAGAAAGATTCCTGTCCCTGCCTACCGTCGCGCATCTAATATTCCCTTCGACCGACTCCCCGCTCTCTCGAAATTGTCTTTTCCTTTAAACGAGAAGCGAAGGGTATCGCATGAACCAGCTGCTGATGAAATAACAACCAATTAGGCACACAACATCCCCCCCCCCCCTCTTGGTACGAGAACTCGACGATAATTTCAATTGGGTATGGTTTTAACGAGCGTTCGTTCGCTAAACCAAAGCGGCCCACCTTACCCCGTCCTCGAGGTGGCAAGGCTTCCTCGTAACGTATTCCCGCCACGTCGTATCGCTCGCGTAAACACGCCTCCTCCTCTCCTTTTTTTTTTTTTTTTTTCAAAAGCTACCGGGAGAGATTACCGCGAGATGTATCCTCGTAAATCACAGCCACCTAATGCTGGTCTTTTTTCCCCCAGCTTCGCGGCAGTTTGCGCGATTTTCCCATGAAAAAAAAAAAAAAATAATAAAAAAAATACACGCAATCGTATCCCCGTTTCTGTGCGGAGGAGCTCGTTTTTTACCTCGCGCTCGAGGGAGTCGATTGATTCCGGACTCGGTCGGAACTAGGAAGAAAGCACGAGCGGCTATACGTTGGCGGAGACGGAGAGATATCAGAGCAGTGTTGCATCCTGTCGCTGTACGTGCTCCGTGTACACTGACATTTTCATCGCGCCTTCGCGGAGCAATATTTTTTTTTCCAAAGGAGGACACGCGGAGTAATCGGAAAAATGAATTTACAAAAGATCAAGGGAAGACAGAGAGAGAGAGAGAGAGAGCTTTTGGTGTTTTCAATTTGTTTCTCCCGCTGAAACGATGCGCTCTGGCGTGATATTTTGGAGAACGGGATGATTTTCCGCTGCACGCATCACGTGCACTTGATACACTCGAAATGGACGGGACGGCGAAAGAGAGTCGAGAAGCGAAAAAATAAAGAAAAGTGGTGTATAACATCTCGTAAGTGCAGTCTGGCGCGGGTATAGCTGTATGGATTACGAGCGCCGGCCGGGCGTCGTGCACCGTATCGCCCGATCGAGCAGCTCGGATTATTGCCCGCGCGAGCGAGTCCTTTCTCTCTTGCGACAGCCAGGCTCTCTCTCTCTCTCTCTCTTTTTCTTTTGTCTCTGTGTTTTTCTCGCTCTCGCCTCGACTTTATTCCCTCGGGTGTATATATATATATATATATATATATATACGTACAACAGGGCTGCTGCCAGTAAAAATGAAACGAGAACGTACACTCTGTCGGGTTACTCTGTATTTATATCTTTTCTGTCTTGCTGCGGACGGGCTGGAAGATGGAGCTCTTTAAAAGCCGATGGACCGTTTTCCATTACGCAATTACGCCGAGCTCGGGCTGGATTTTTCCTTTTAACATTCATGAGTCGACTGCGAGGACTATTAACTCTTGCACCTCCCCTATATATATAATACCGGTCTTGCGAAGATTTTAGTTCTTCCGTGGTTTATGGGGGGTATATAAAGACGCTTTGTTTGCAGCTCTGCCGGCTGTTTTCGTTTATTTAAAGTCGACACAAACCTTCCTTCCATTCATTTCCAGGCTTGGGCACAATTACTTATGGACTTTTTAACTATTACAGATAATATTTGAAATAAAATGTTTAAATACGTATTTTAAAACACTTTGGCCCTTTTTTGTCACTCACAGTTTCATTTTTTTACTGGGCAAAATTTCGTCAAACTCTAGGTTAAAAATAGTATTAAAATAAATCACTGTAAGTACAAACGATGCATCACACTTTTAGCGAAAATTGTGTAACGAAACAATTTTTTTAATTTACCGCACCGTCCAAGCCTGTCGGTTTCAAGTGAAACACATCGACGTTTGGTCAGACGAGCCATACTACTTTGCACCAAAAAAAAAAAAAGAAAAAAAAAGGGGGTCTGTGCGGGGAAAAAAAACACTCGCGCATGTGTACGATATTACGACGAGGAGGAAAAGGATTTTCCGGTATGACGTGTGTACGACATTACCTGGGAAGGAACTTACGTGCACGCCGCAACGTGTACAAGCGAGGGAGGGGGGCAATTCAAGCGGAGCTTTTCTATGGAGTCTCGCGCGCAGAGCGACAGCGGTATGGGACTAATGGAAACGTCAGAGTCCCCCGACACTCCGTGCCTAGCCTTCTTTCACCTTTCCGACACGTCACGTTTCGGCTCGATCGTCTGTACCACGCTACTGCTGCCTTAATAAACGCGAAATACCGAAAAGCGCCGAGTCCTTTGACAGTAGTGCACAGCTCGGCGAATAAAAACGGGGAAGTCTGTCGTAATTTTCGTTGTGCCCAAGCTCGGACAACTACTATTGCCGAAATTCCTCGAAAAAGTTCGACTTGCGATAGGAGATTTTTGTAATTGGCTTGGATAATTTATCAAAGCTGAGGCAGATTATGCTTCAATTAAATTTATTTAGCAAAAACAAGTCAAGCATTGGGTGAATGTTTCGAAAAACAACTCTTGTTTCAACTTGCAGTCTTTCACCGAAAAATGTTCTCAATCGTTGAAAAACCGTATAAAATGAATCTTCGCATGCTTACGCTTCCGTGAAGCGAACGTGCACCTGTGGAGCTCGGAGACTCGAAGGTACGTACACCTGGATGCCAACAAAAAGTAACCCATTGAAAATTGTGTATAAGCTCTCAACGAACGCGAACAAACACGCGAGTCCCGTTAGAACGGCTTAAACAGGAATTTCGCGAAAAGCCAGGAAATTCCATTCACCCGAAGCGCATCCTGTCCGAAGAATGAGCTTCAGCAGCCGAAAACTTGGCGCTACATCTAAACTTTGGCTACAGCGAGCGGGAAGTCGGCCGCGTGATCGCGCGCAGCAGCGAAAAGTTAGAGCTCGAAGCGCAGTCGTTAGTTATTCGCGGTCACTGCTTGTTACACTCTCCGTGTCCTCCCCTCGGGCGCAAACACACATATACACGCGCGAGGAAGACGACAGCCGGTTCAGACTACAAATAAATTTTTTTTTTTTTATTCAACCCGTACGAGATTTTTTTTTTTCATCCGGCACTGACACCACCACCGTCGTTGAAATATATTACGGTGACTCTACTCGGAAGGTGCGTTCGCAAAATTGAACGGAAGCACCGAAGGGAAAGAAAAATTGGGATTTAATTTCACCGTAACTACCTATCGGAGAGCCAGGCAATTACAGCACCTGCAACAACCCGACGAAACCACGTATACACACCACGTGGAGTATGGGGCGGAGAAGAAGCCGCAGGCGAGGCTCCTTCCTCCCCCTCCTTGCAGCGACGGGAATTATTATTGCATGAATTTTTAATAAAGCGTCCGGTCTTTAATATCGAAGCTCTCTCGCGCAGCCACTCGTTCATTATGCGACGCGCGCTGCTTTTCCACACAGCGACCGCAAAAACGCATCAGCGGAGCTTCTAAGAAACCTGCACCGTCTCTCCCACCTTACCCCTTTTTCGGTCCTCGGTGCTTCCTGAAATATTATGCGGCGCTAGATGGCGAATTTTAATGCCGACCAGGGGGGTGAGGGAAACTTTCACGGAGGAGCGACAAAAAAGCTCATCAAGCCACCGGGGCGTCGCCCGTTCGATGTCGAAAGCCAAAGCGGCCCGAGCTTTGCCCGGGTATGTGTTATATATATATACATATATATATTTTTTTTTTTCTCGTTTTTATCTTTTGGAAAACCCGACGAAGTAACTTTTCGCGATTCTTAACAAGTTTTTGCTTACCGAACAAAGTGATTTCAAGTACGGAAGGAACAGTCGCTCGATTTACTCATTTATCTACATCCTTCGCACTCGGTTCGCCAAAAAATAAAAGTTTCTCGCGAGAAAAAAAAGGGGGGCACTAAAGGCGACCGAAATCACAGAGTTTTCGATGCTCTTTAATTATTTTGTTCAAATGAGATGAAACTCGAGTACCCACCTCCTATCGTAGTGGATTGCCGATGCGGTTTTTGGATCCCATAGTACGTCGAAGCCACGCTTCCAACCCTGAAACGAGAAAAAAAAGCTTTCAAAAAATATCAATCGACATTTTTTTCTCGAACATTACTCTTAAAAGGGTCGCACTGTTTGGAATAGGTATTCTTTTTTTTCCAAAAGGGGTGGGTGCAGTTCTCCGATGAGCCCTCAACTCGCTCGTTAGCGCGTCCTCCCCCCGTGCTAAGAGCCATTTAATATTACGTAACAACGGAACTTTGTGAATCCGCGGGAGTGCCCTGATGAACTGCAAGCCTCGGCGGACGACGAGTGGATGGAAGGCGCCGCCAAGGGGACTGGGGTGGGGGGGGGGAGTAAATATGCTGATTTCCCTAACGACGCAAACGAGAAAACGTCGTTTGCTCGTTAAGGCTTTGCCCCCGTCCTCGTGTATAAACGATGCCACGGCGAAAGGTCGGATGATCCCTACGTGCTTGATGGTGTACACGCAGCGCAGGAGTCCTTCAAGGCGAGCTCCAGCACCGGACGCGCTCACTCGGGGTGCGACCACCTATGGGAATATCGTTTCATGAATTTATTTTTCCAATTGACCCTTTTCGAGCAACGTCTCCTCAACGAAGCTCATTATCCTCAATATTCGACAAATTTACCTCGAAACTCCATTAGTAGCTGCTGTCCAGTTTATTAGATTGCACGTACGAAGGCAGAGAAGTACAGCTATCAAGCATTGGTTTTCATATCTCAGACGCCCGGCTGGTTTAATATCGCGCTCAGGTGACGGCCCTTTACTTCCACCCGATGTCATTTTGAAAGGCGAACTTGTATTACACCCAAAAAGAAAAAATTACGCGAGTATACAAAGGACTCACGCACACGCAGCCGAGGATCCGCAATGCCTGCGTAAAAAATTTCCCCGCACATCCGGGGAATTCATCTCCTTTGAAAAATCGCCGCTCCGCCGATCCTCGAAAAAAAAAAAAGAACCTCGCAAGATTTTGCTCTCGCGTTTTTTGCACCACCGGGTACGTGCCGCTCGTCCCGCAGGGCGCAACGATTTTACGAGCAAAGAGAAAAGAGGAGCTCGAAGGCAGGCGCGGGAGCGTGTAATTTGTTTCTGCATTTTCCATGCAAATTAACGTAATTCTCCTTCGCCAACCACTGTATATATACAATAAAAGGTGGCCCCGTGTATACACACCCTTCCAACACAGGCAGTTTGTAGACGTAGGTACACGGCGTTGTAGTGCAAGTTCTTTTGTTTTCGTCTGGCGCGCACGTGGCACTTTCCGGCGAGTTTATCGCGCTGGGAGCTCTGATTAAAATACCATCATCGTAATTGTTGTTTTTTCTTTTCCATGGGACGCCGCGGTCGCTTAATTGTGTGCGCGGAGCGACTCCCTGTCTCCGAGCTCGTTTGCCTTCGCAACCGTTTGTTTTCCATTTACCTCTCTCTCTCTCTCCCTCGAATTGAATCTCGCTGTGGTACGTATTGTTATCGCGATTACATTTTTTTTTTCCCTCTCTATTCCATGGAAGTATGTTTTTTTACTTTGGGTTTACAGGGAAAGGCAGTAGAGTTACGTAAAAAAGAGCCGCGTCATGATTACGTAAAATAACGTAGAACCGGTGAAAGTCGCGATTGTGCGTCACTCGTTTCAATATTTTTCTCACTAGCACGTCTTCCCTTTTTTTTTTTTTAACAATTTCCATGTAGGTGCATACATATATAATGTTCGAAATGAGCACTCAAACTTGGCGGGGATACGACGGGCAAAGCGAAAAATGAACAAAGATCCTTCCTGCCCAATAGTTTCTCGGGACAATACGCCCACGGAGAGGCGCGGCTCATTGAAGAGGCCGACAACGCGCGACCACGAAGCAATAAGATAGGTATACACGAAAAGTAATTAAACACCGCGCGCACTGGCAGTAGTAATTAATCGAAACGCAGCGGAGTAGCCCACGAGCCACTACAACTGCCCCGACCCGTGTATTAAACCTCGACGGCGGTTGAACCTCCTCCGCAGTACAATGTGCGTTTGACGAAACTTCCGGACCACACGGGCTATTTACATTAATTCGCGCGACCAAGCGCGTACAACCTTGAAACTCCCGGGTGGGCTCTGGGGTTTAATTGGAACGACCCGCGACATAGCGGGGCAGGGGGAGCACTTGTTTTGCATCGGCTAATTACAAAGTGCGGACTCGGGGCGCAATTGGATCATTTGTTTTTTCTTTCGTTTCTTCCCCCCCTCAATCTCGGAGCTCGATGCGTCACGAGAAAGTATGCAAACCACGGAGGCTCTCGAGTTTCGTTGAAGAGTCCACGCGCAGAGTCAATCGGAGGAACGAGCCAAAAGAATCGCTCGCGGTGGTGCAACAACCAAAGTATACGGAGACAAAAGACCAAGATAGAAGAAGAAGAAGAAGAAAAAGTGGAAATTTGCCGGGTAAACGGCTCCGCAGGTATACGGTCGAGGCGGGCGGAAGTTTAAACTGAACAACAGCCCGAAGTGGGTACACGTATATATATATACCCGAGTAAGAGCTCCAGGAGAAGTAAATGGGGGAAAAAGATAAATATAAAAATCGGCGGGGGGTATTAGCCCACAATGGAACGAAAGTACCTTTACCCAGAGAGAGAGAGAGAGAGAGTCCCTTAAAGCTTGAGCGTATAGGAGATTTTCTCTTTTTGTGCTCTCCCATCGCCGGGCCATCTCTCGTGACGACTCGTAATATTTCACTCGCCGGAGAGGAAGCTCTTTGGTCCTAATGCGCGCGAGAGTGCCCGGGGCTGGCTTTTCACCAGCACACGCGAGCGATATCCGGTGATTTTTATCCCTCCCGTGTAAACAGGCTGATCAAGACTCGACCTAACGTCCCGGAAATTAGCGCTACTCGAGTACGGCTACGTTGATGGTCTCTTTGGTTCGTCTTTTGGGGAGGGGAAAAAAAATGCCAAGAGTCAAAAGTCCGTGCGTCGTCTCGAGCGGTGCAATTAAGGAGTCAGTCGGGCGTGCACGCTGCCAGCCGGAGGAGCAAAGAGGACCACTTGATTTAAACCCTCGTATGATATATACGTATATATGTTTGTGCTCGTGGCAACCCCTATCAAGATTCCGCTGACTCGAAGAAGTGGAAGGTGGAGAGGGCACGTGTATGTATATAGTACAGGAGGAGACTAGCCGATCTTTGTTTACTCGTTAGAGGTTCGGGTTATCGGTGACTGCGTGGGCCGGTGCTTCGAGTACTCGGGCGGCCCCGTTTGAATACTAATGACCGGGTGCCGTTTTTAGGCTGAGCTGTTTGGGCGTATCGGGAGAGCAAGTGCTTGTACACGATGCTGGGTTCAAGTTTCCGGGCAATACTAGTTGCCAAAGAGTTTTAACTGATACTGCTCGCGTTGCGTGCCGCTGGATTATAGCTCTCGCGTTTGTGGGGCGAACGTGTTATGCGCTCAAAGGTTGTAGGGGCGTCAATTTCAGATTTTGAGTGTTTAAAGAGCACAGGGTTTGCCGAGTGTTGTTAAAGGTGCGGAAGAAAAAAATATTAGAAAATTGTTTCCCTTACACTCGAGGTACGTAATATATTGTTGTTTTTTTTTTTTAAACGTAGGTGCAATACATTTCTACGATACCTCGAGTCTTGAAACTCCAGATAGCGGCTGGTTAGGCACGTACGAGATGTCAGTTATACTCTGACAACTGAACTTTATGCCAGTTCTTTCTATTGGAATTAATTATTTTTATATTGCAATACTTGTAATATTATTATTATATAGTCTTTGTAACAAACATGATATAAATATTGCCATGGCCACCAGAGGAATTGAAAAAAAAAAAAAAAAATTACCTTCACGTGTGGATACAAATGCAATTTGTCATAAAACATTTAGTAGGTATAATACATCTAAAGACTTTCAATGCAGCACTTGAGTGAACTGCGCATGGATTATTGTCACGTAAAGACACTGTAACTCACGGGCCATTAAATAACATCAATATGCACGCGTGAGCTTTTAAGCACTGGACATGTAAAGCAGCGCGTTAGCCTGGCCAGGAGAGGAAAATAAAAGTAATCCACGCTAGAGGAGGGGAGGGAAAAAGCTTTTCTCTCCCGCGTGAAATCCAATCGGCGATGCGTTACGCAACTCAAACGCGTGCGAGAGAGGAAAAATAAAAGGAGCAAAGGGAAATAAAAAGATTGGGAAAACCGGAAAAACCGGACGGGGGCGCGAAACGGAAGAACGTATAAGGAGGGGGAGGGAAAAAAAAGAGAAAAAGAGAGCGTATATTCCCTCGTTTTATGCGAAAGCTCGATCCACCTTACGTATGTATATATGTGTATGGGTACGCGTAATCCCGTTCTCCCTTTTGCGAGCCCCGCTCCCATCCATAAGTGCAGATTCATGTTTACACCCACGGGTGTCTCGATTCCGTGGCGGCCTCCTTACTCCCATCTCTCCTCGGATTTATACGCACCACGCGCTCTCGCGTCCAACGCGGAAAACGATCTCGCACGCTCTGGTGTATACCTACGATTTCCCGATTCTTTTATTTCACTTCGCTCAACATCAAATCGGAATTCCATCGCCGTCGCAAAGTACGCCGGTTTGATGTATCCGGATCCGTGACAACGAGGGACTCGACGCTTCTCATTTCCTTGAAAATTTCCAAAATCCATCAGACCTGCCTGAATCATCATCACCTAGAAAACGACATGTCCCCTAAAGACAAGGTAGTACAAAGACCAGCGCGTGGCCCGTAAATCTCGAAAAGTAAAAGCACGCGGGTGTTTTTACCTCAGGGATTAGCCCGAGTTGGGAGTTGATAAACAATAAGCTAGCGCGTACTCTGTTGAAAAAAAAAAAAAAAAATATTCTTATAGCCGCTTCTCGTGTTGGGGGCGAGGAGAAGCGGTGGTTTATCTACGCGGTCCAAAAGAAATCCGTGGAGGAGGAGAAAAAAGAAGATAGAAAGAAGGACGGTGGGCGTGCAACGAAATCCTCTTTCCGTGTAATCTTCATTTCCTCGGCGGATCTTTTAAACAAC